AACACATTTTTAGTATGACTACTGCTCTTAAAATATCTAAAAGCTAAGCTCCCCAATAGCCAAAATACAATAGTTATAAACTAGCACAATAAAACTACTGCAAATCTTAGCTCCAGCACAAACAGTGTAGTTGACAACGTACAGTATATTCAACCAATTAATGTGAACTGAATTTTGGTTTAAAGCTATCGGGTAAAGGTTTGCAATGTTTCTGTCTATGCAATGGCCTCTGTATCTCAATAGGCACATAATAAAAATATATTTTTTTCACTTTCCATAAATAAAATTGTCTTGAAATTAACCAGACATACACACTCACATACGCACTTCTACAAATACAGCTTATTCTTTGTATTAAAAAAACACCTCACTCACTAATTCTCTTTCTCCCCCCCCCCCACGTATAACTTCCCCTGCTCCAGCTGTGTCTTAAGAAGTCAGGGCCAAACTGGTAATCTGACTGAGATAGAAGTTACTGGATCTGTATCCATTACAGGATGTAATACCCCTCAGTCCCAGACTCTCCTCACTTCCCCTTACCTTCAACCTTTTAGAGCTCATTTCAAGATCACTTTTTTTTCCCTCAAACACACAACATAAGAGCTGTGTCATGCATGGCATATTGGGGACTCATGTATATGTCTTTGTTGCTGGACCCCTATATCTTCAACTCCTGCCACCACATTAGCCTTTTGGATCCCGCCCTCACCCATTCAGACACTCCCAGGGGCAAACTGTGGTCTGTGGCCCCAGCTGTGTTAAAGAAAAGATTTCAGGTGTCCCACAGAGAAAATAAAATGGCTTGTATCTAAGATGTGAGTTTACTTCAGGACACCAACAATTTGTTTTCAACAACTGGCAGCAACACCTCACCTCAGTGTTTCTGCTCTACAGCCAGAGGTATCACTTTCCAGCGAGGGAACTCAACACATCCTGTCAGGAAGCTTTGAGACCGAGGAGCAGAAAGCGCTACCAGTTTGCGTACAGTGAGTCAGCTCTCATGCCTTCTGCTGCGCTTTTCTCTAAACTGCTTGTTTATTGAGAAATGTCTCTATTAGCTATTCACAAGGATGATAGTTTAGTAAATGACTTCCTGAGAGCCGAGCACTCCTATGAATCCCCACTGAATGAACTAAACTGAATGCTTTTGAGGTGATGAGATGCATCATTTTCACTGCAGGTGACAATAAATGCGGCCTGTCTTGTCTGGTACTTGTACAGCCTTATTGATTTTCTCAAAACTAACAAAAGACACCAGAGCACTGAGCATCAAGAGTCTACATTTGGTTTCTTTTAGACTATGGGAACACCGTTTTGAGCAAATCTGTTGTTGTGTGAAGTAAACAGTAACTTAGTGAAACCTGAAATCATCAAGCAGGTGTTCAGTAACACACACATACACACACACACACAGAAACAGATAAAGCACACATAATCTTGCCAACAACTTTATGAAAACACAGATCACTGTGAAGTGCGAGTTGAAGAGCACATTCTCAGTGCTTGGAGAACACAGTGTCAAACAACAACATTTGGGAAGGGATTATTTTGGCTGAAAACCGGGAAGGTGTTTTATTCTGTTAAAACAAAACCTGAAATTCTGCAGAGAGCAACAGAGTCTCATTAGCGGGCAGTGACAAAAGCAAAGCAACTGGCAGCGCTTTGACTGTGAAAACTGATACTGCGGTGCTTATTTCCACCAAGGACAATGAAATGTAAGCTATCACGCTCACTCCTCACTTCCCAGAACTCACATTGAAGGCTGCAGCCTGGCGTAGGTGGAAGGTCATAGAAAATCTGTGCGTGTGTGTGATTTATAAAGCGTGCGTAAGTGTGCACATTCCCCATGCACTCATTTCTCCTTGAAGAATAATGAACACATCGTCCTTTACTGATTTGCTGCAGAGACAATAGTCTATGCTGTAGGGAAAACTTTGACCTTCATGCAGACACAACACTGTAGCAGTCTACTGCCTGTCTAAACCTGTAATGACTCCAGTTCACCTGTGGCTATAGGACCAGGAAACACTAGCTGACTAAGTCTAGACTTCCATTCACTCTACCAATTGTCCATGTGCTGTTTTAGAGTGGGAGAGAGTGGGAAGAAACCACGATAAAACAGTGAGGAATAGGCAGACAGAGGAAGAGAAAGTGAGGTGCATGATCAGGTCTGATAATTAAAAACCTCTCTATCTACCTGCTCCGTCTTTTTTTTTTTTACCATACAGTTTTTCAGAAAACAAATATTTGCCAGTTGAGTCACTGCTGAATCTACTGTATTGCCAGGACAATCAATCATCTGTGTGTCAGCCAGTGAATAAAGCTGTTGCTTAGAGGCCTCAAGCGAAATGCTATTTGAATTTGGAACTGTTTCAGCACACCTGATTTGACGCTTTAACGACCAAATAATATATAAGGGTAAAATAAAAATGACACACTCAAGCTGTCTGTTTTCCAAATCTACAATCAGGGCATTTTGCTGAGGCCAAGCTTGGTCAGCTAACTGAAAGCATGCAAGCTAGAAAATGAATGAATTGAGTTTACAGTCTGGGAATCTGGGAGATGTTCTTATCTAGTGAGGCATAGCAATATTATTATAGTTTAAAAATAATCTGGCATTTTTATTTATTAACTTAAACCGACTGGGAAAGGAGAATGCAGCTCCAGCAGCCATTCGGGAAAACAGGGCTAACGCCTGAAGAAAATGGTTCACAGATAAATAAATACATGTTTTCAGTGAGTCATCACAGATGTGGTGACTATTAGGAGCAGATTATATATAGAGTTGAATGATTTTGAAAAAAAAAATGTCATTGCAATTTTTTTTACAGATATTGCAATTGCGATATGATTTGCGATACAAGGAGGAATGATCATTTTTACATAATTATTCTCATTTTCATTGAAAAACATATTCATTCAAATGAATTATGGTGTGATTTTTGCAAGGATCTGTACTAAACAAAGATGTTTTCTTAAATCTCTCATATAGGATGTGTAGGCCAGGACATATCTGCAGCAATATTTAATTTAAAATGGTATTTTGACACACGTCACCTTCAAAAAAAATTGCGCATCCTGAGATTTGAAAATTGCAGGAGGCCAAATTGTGATTTCAATCAATTTCGATTACTGGTTCAGCCCTAATCATTTGTTTCACTAACCTATAGGTGGCACACTAATGTTACAACGTCATTTAAATGGACTGAAACCTTACATCCCAACACCTGACACCAAATCCAAAACACTGCATTTAAAGAGATGTGATCCATGTCCAATTTGCAGCTATACAAAGTGTAAGGGGAATTTAAAGCATAAAGATAAATGGGGGGAAACAAATATACTTAATGAACTTAATATAAAATGAAAAACCTAGTGAGAATTACTTACTGGGGTGAAAAAAAACTAGGTAGAGGTCCAACTTTTGGACCAGATTTTACATGTCTTCTTCTTTGGCAGATGTTCTGCAGCTTCTTAAACAGATTAGTCAGTTTTACCATGAGTCTAAAACACCGTTTTTTATGTTTCTGTCCATGTGTGCTCATGTCTGCAGTGCAAATGCTTAAATGTTCATGGCATTCAAAAACACAGTTATTACTTCAAAGGCTTTGCTTTAAATGATAAAACAGCATCTGCGAGCAAAGACAGTAAATCAAACGAAGAGGGTAAGACAGCATGGACTGCAAAGGAAAGCCGACTGAACTGGTGACAATGACAGGAAAGATGGACGAGAAAGAGGGGATGACATGCAGCCAGAGGTCGCAGGACGACCCCAGCACATAGCAAACTGAGTATGAGGTATGAGCCTTTGCTGGCTTAACTTCAGGGCTCCCAGCTGAAACAATCTCCAATGACTTTAAATAGACCAACAATAAAGAGAGAAAAGAATAATATGCACAGACACAATCACTGATACAAATGATCTAATCTGACGTCTAAACTTGTGTTCTGAATTTAAGAGCAGAAACACAGTTTAATTTTTTTGAATAAATGATTGTGAAAATAATCTACAGAGCTGCTGTGCCACGCTTAAACCTATATGTGGGAAAAACAACAGAAGCAGAGTGTCAAATCGTAATGACACACATCACAGCACTGAACAGACTATTAAATCTGACACGTTCTCTCTCTCTCCAACACCTCGCCAATCACACTTCAGATACCAAACATGGTCACAGACAAAGCGGCTGATGCAGCTAACAGTAACAATGTCAGTCCATGACAAAATATCTCTCTGAATGTCAGAGCAACTATAGAACTTCTAAATTAAAGTGTGAAAACGTGATGAGATAATCAATAACTCACAATACCATGTCTTATTTTGTATAGTCAGTAGAAAAGCTTGCATGTTATCTTCAAGAAATTGTTGTTGATTTACCATATAGTTATGATGTGAAAATCTGATAATATTGGTGTATTTGCTCTTTAATAGTGCGATTGAAATGACCTGTATCAAATTTACTGTTGACATTCTAACAGAAAGACAAAACACAGAGCTGCACCCACCAAAACTCTATAATTTCACAATTGGAAAATTAAATGAAAAATATTGTAAAACCATCTCAGCTAGGAATTTTTTGAGCTGCTGGCTTTGATAAATACTGCTGTGTTTTAACATTAAACATGATGTAAAACAGCCTCTCGCATATCTTATGTTTAGGATCGTGTCTACATCAGTTGCTATGTTTTGGAGCCAACTTCTAAAACTGACTGTCATCACGAGTTGCTTACAAAGTGCAGGCACTGCATAGCAGAGCCCAGATTTAAGCTGCAACTTTTAAAAGTAACACATGTACAAGTAATATTCAAGATGTAAAACACAGAGTAGACAGAACAGAACCACCAATCATGTTTGCAGTAATGAGAAGAGAAGCCAGAACTAAACAACTAAAGTTTGAAAATAAGATTTTTGCATCAGAGCAACTTCAGAATAGAGCTAAGTTAGAACAGCAACTCTGTTGAGGGCAGTGGCGGGTAGAGAAAAGTTTGCAGTAACTCACCATGTGCTTGTGCGTGAAGAGAGAACAGTCCAAGCAACAGCAGAGGGCTCCGACTCCAGAGACAGAGAGAGAGACAGCGCTTCAGCCTTTCTCCCTGCACTGGCATGGTAGAGTCTGCCACTCCGCTCCTCTCTTCTCCTCTCTTCAGTACACTCCACCCAACAGGATCCGCCACTCACACACTGTCTCTCCCCCCGAGTGTGTGTATGTATGCGCCAGAGAGAGAGAGAGAGAGCGAGAGGTGGGGGTGGGAGTATTGGGCATGCAAGCTCCTGTATGTGTGTGTGTCCACCGCAACGTGAGAAAGTCCACACCACACAAAACACACCAGCAGCGGCAGCAGCAGTTGCAGTTGATTGTCCTCCGACCCGGTCTGACAGTAGCAGCCCAGCTGAGAGAAAGAGCGAGAGAGAGAGAGGCAAAAAGGGGGAGTTACTTCACTTGCATAGTCGGGAGGCGCACACACACACACACACACACAGGGAGAGAGGACATGGGTGGAAAGAAAACGGGGGCAGGGAGCAGACAGGAGCAAGATGGGGTTTAGTAAAAAGTAGGAGGAGGAGGATATTGAAAACAAGCAGCAGGATCTGTGGGATTCAGTGTCTTTAACAGCTTACAGATAACTGTTTCCACTTTTATTTTCTGCAGGAATCCTTTGAACAAGGTGAAAGTGGAATGAATAGTTGATTAAAGCTATATGTGGACTATAAAGATAGTGTTTGTTGAGCAGCGGCACAATTGAGAAACTTCTCCATTGTAGATAATGGAGTTGCATTTGGAAAACACAACTGATTGACTCCGTATGCAAAATAATGTTTGAAGTCAAACTGTACCAAAGTCCTTCGTAGTCTTCGGTAGGATTACCAATCAAAAGCAATTTTATTACCTGCAACCAAGAGATACTGGTATTTTGAGAAAATACAACAAATTAGTTTGAAAATAAGACATGAACAAAATATCTCTTCACACAGTGGAGTGCTGTTAATAAATCAGGTAACTGGCAAAGACACTCTAAAGGAGCTGTTAAGAGATTACATCACCCTTGCCTGGAGCTTTTATACTAATAAATAAATGGGTTGAGACACTCTAATAGACCATTTCCTTTTCAGAGCTATCCTGTTGCCTATGGGGCATTTACTGTGGACAGAACTGTGTGTGTGTGTGTGTGTGTGTGTGTGTGTGTGTGTGTGTGTGTGTGTGTGTGTGTGTGTGTGTGCTGAGAACACTTTGCTTTTAGCAAAAAGTATTATAGACAAACAACACAAAATGCTGATTTCTAATTTTTAGAGGTTAAATAGATGGGGCAAACAATTATTGTTTTCATGTTAATCCATCTTGTTTGTAGCCGCCGCTGTTCGTTGCACTTCTTTTCTTTCTCACTCTCGTTCATTTTGTTCATTAGTGACAAACAATAGGCGGCCTGGCTCCCTCTCTCCTCGATGAGAGGAAAAATCACTTCATAAATAAATAGTCCTGCCTTATTCTTCTTCTGTCTCGCCTCGTCCCCTCCTCCCTGAAGCCCCTTTCCCATACAAACCTTAACGTACAGTAACTGATGTTCCCATTGATTCTGTCTCGCAAGGAAACCAGATCTGGTGTCAGTTTTCTAAGTAAGATGTCCTGGTGGTTTGTTAGCAGGAGTGAGTGATATTTATAAGAGGTTTTGAAATCACATTTATTCATTTAGCTGATGCTTTTATCCAAAGTGACTTACAATTACTATATATGTCAGAGGTCACACACCTCTGGAGCAACTAGGGGTTAAGCGTCTTGTTCAGGGACACATTGGTGGATGTGTTAAAGTGGGGAGTTGAAGCCCGGTCTCCCACACCAAAGGCATGCATCTTATCCACTGCCCCATCACCACACCAAATTATTATGGTTTTAATTAGCCACCACAGAAACTCGATCTGTTGGAAATGAAAATTAACTTGTAAATATCAAGCACTGTAAACATGTTTCATGTTTATTTTATAATGTCTGCAACCTTGTAAATTGTGCTGCTGCCTGTCTTTGACAGGACACTCTGCAATTTTTAAGTTATAATCCATAATTGACACACTGAAGAAAAACACATAATTTACTCAAAATCTTGTATGACAATAGACTTGACAGCAAAATTCTGTGTCTAGTAGACCTATACTGTGTCTCAGTTCGTATATGCTTACACTTGCTGCAGTGCATGTGCTCTGAGGAGTATGACAGAATACAGTGCACCATGAGTTTCCGGACGGTGTACTCGAAACAGTCAAAAAGTTGTGTGTAAAAGTATTTTCATTTTTATTGATGTTTAATAAAATTGACATGGGCAAACAAGCTGGCAGATATTTTAGTGACAATAGGGTGACCATTATGGTCAAATGTTGGCAATAAGGACTCACCCAGTTACAATTCACAATTAAAAAATGAATTAAGAAATGCATGCACTACGCCAGTAAGTACATAGTGTACACAGTGCACTACATGTTAGTGGAAGTATCTGAATTAAGAACAGCTCTATTGTATAGTCTGTCCCTTTCAACAATGAAAACATTAAACTTCAGAAAAATGTGTCTTTGTAAAGTTGAACTATTGTTATGTGTCTTTACCCCTCTCACTTTTCTTTGCCCTCCCAGGTCACACACAGCTATCTCCCTTATTATTACTGTGTCTGTTAAAAGTTTTTGCACCCCATAAATGCAGATGCCCTCCCCTCTCCAATTCTGTCTTTCCCTCCTCCACTCCCTTTCCTACTCCCCTCCTCCAGTGAACCAGAATGTCATTTCAAGCATGTCTAACCACGGGAAGCCTTTTAAAAACTGTGACAGCATTTGCCCCCAATCCCCACTAACCGCGTGTGTGTGTGTGTGTGTGTGCGTGCGTGCATGCGTAATGAATGTCTGTAGTGATTTGCTGGAAGACAGGATATCATATGCACATTGTTACTTTCAGGTATTGTAGGCTGGTGCCCCCCAAACACACACACACACACACACACACACACACACACACACACACTCACAGTTGCTATTCATCCATAGTGTCACCCTCATGCTGGGCCTATGATAAATGGCTGTTACTGTCACAAGTGAGAGATGAGCAGTAAAAGAGAAACAGGAGTAAAGAAAAGGCTGCTGACAGGACAAACAAAAGGAAAGATCAGAGAAGAATGACGGTTGTCTAAGGCGGTTTGAAGGAAAGATTTCTGAAGAATTTGTGTAAATTGGGGATGGTGACATTTTAGGGAGATGTGAAGGGGTTCAGAGAAAGGAGGGAAAAGGAGGACAGAGCGATGGGGAGTAAGGATCAGAGGTGCAAAAGGATGCCATTGAAATAAACGGTGCAACAAATTTTTAGTTAAGGTAAAAAATAAGTACTAATTTGCTTGGACATTTTAATCTTTTTTCTTTTTCCTGACTTCATCTGAATGTGTAAAAGAGAGCTTCAATATCATAGCATACAAAAAATGCATCCCTGCCAGCGCTGGGGGTCAATATGCTCTGTTTTCTGCATTCACACTCTTATCATTTTTGACAGGCTATCATAACACGACAACTTCACGTCAGCAGCTTTCAGTGTCAACTCTTTAAAGAAAGTCAAGTTTTGCTTTCAGAATGCTTAAAGCCGTCAAGGGTGAAGACACATGAAAACACATTTACATTCTGATCTCTGAAATTAGGATACAAATCATACACCTAAAACATTTGTTCAAGGGCAGTGGAGGCCTAAATGTTAGAGAAGTGAGCTTAAGAGCGGGGTGGCGTCGGTTAAAACCCCAGCGGAGATTCCTCCAGTGGTGCTGTTCAGTCCCAGGAGATCAGACTTTCATTCTACTGGGCTACTTCCAGGTATGAATGTGTAACTGTGCAAATGTGGTCAGGGCATCCCTACAAAAGAGAGGCTTTCTCTCAGGGAAACATCCATGAATAAAAGGTTGTAAAACAAAAGATCCCTCTGTCGCTGTCCAGCGAAAACCATGTATCTGCAAACGTGGAAATTTTGAATTTCTTTTTTTTTTTTTGAACGCCTGAGTGTTCCTTTGTTGGTTGAGATGTTCAGACATCTTGCTACTGCGTTTGTGAAAAAGTTACACAAAAACATTCTGTGGTTCCAGAGAAATCTGCACCAGGTCTAACAAACTGCCTCAAGTGACATCAATTGCATCGCTGGTTGAGACTAGAGACTCAAGGCTACATTATCCGTTAATAGCATAACAAGTTAAAGCAATGTGTGTAATAAAAAAAAGAATGCATGTCTTTTTTTTCTGTATCTATTTTTATACTTTTCTTTTCATACTTTTCAAACTGTACAACATAAGCCCAGCAATCTTATAGGAATGCAATGGTAAATCGGTATAGTACTCTTGGTGGTACATTCCCAGGGATGGTTTTCACAGGACAGTGACATTTTTAAATATGATATACTAAGGACTTTTCCTTCTGTCAAATGAAAGCACAGTTCCTCCAAAAGTCAGCTATTTAAAATGTAACAAATAAAAAGCACTCTTTCACACCATTGTGTTTTTTGACTGCACAGAAGTTCTTTGTGGTTACATGGACTCAACATTCTCAAAAAACATACAAATGGACTTGGCATACTTGTGGCTTCACATACGGACATTTGTTATTCAAATACATAATCTCCGCTTTGGGATTTCCATCTGCGCCAGAGGATTTAAAGACCACCTTACCTTTTCCTGGTTCACTTTTAGAAGAATTTATCCCTTTATTTGGTGTGTGAGCTGACTAACAGACAGGGGATTAAGTACATTTTAGAGAAACACCTCTGTGGCACAGCAGCACATCTGCTAATACCCATCCATTCACTTCAGCATGTCTTTAAACTAACAAGCAGTTTAACATAATCTGTTTTAAACCCGTCCATTCATTCCTATTCACTGCTGCATTTACATAGCAATCCTTTCTGCCTGAATGGTCTGTGGTGAGAGAGACACAAAAGGAAGACTGAGAGAACATATTCATGGTTGTAGATGCCAGAGAGTTGTGTGTGAGAGTATAGTTCCTCTTCCTATTTCGCTCCCATTTGTATTCTCAACTTTTCTGCCTCAGGGAGCCATAGACAGTGTAGAAGAAGTATCGTTTTGATTTGGTCCAGAAGTAGCCAAATATGAACCAAAAAACCTAGAATACACTTTGTCAAATAGACTGCAAATATCAGTTTTGTCATCCAAAAAATGTATATAGTGGAAAGTTGTTTGGAAGGAGCTTCAAGGAGTTGGAGTAAAAGATTTATTGATGGGAGGCAAGTGCATGAAAAACAAAGGAATTTGTAAGGGATGGAGTGAAGGAGAAAAAGCATTTGATGATTAAGGATGGATTAAAAGGGCTGCATATGAAAAGTGTTAAATCTTTTCACCTCGCATTTCAAACAACAATTTCAGCATAGAGT